ACGGGGTTTGGGGAAAGGAGGGTTGATAAGAACTTTTAATTGTCGTGGTCTCGGAAAGCTTTTGTTTCCTGATGAGTTTCAATTACAATCAATCTCACTGGTGTCTGGAGCGTAAAACTTTGCGTGCTTCTCTCGGCTACCGAGACTCGGGTACTCAAATGGTGCTGTGAGGAAATGAAAATCACAGTATGGTTAAATGGGGGGGGGGGGGGGGGGGGGGGGGGGTTTGTGATATTTCAGTATCACTGAATTTTGGTGCTTTGTTTTGAGTATGTTTCGTGTAACAGACACTAAGTTTTAAAATATGTATGTTAACTCGTACAACAGGGTTCGGGATGTTGGTGGTAGTATTTCAAATGACTTTAGTTATTGAAATAGTGGTGCCAATTTCATTTACACGCCACTGAACTTACTCCCAAACCTAAAAATAGTTTAGTATGATATCACTTTCCGGGGCACAATACAGGAAATAGTTATACCTACTTTCTGTTTTTATTATTATTATTCTGGTCCCTGTAAAGTGTTTTGCCAGGGAATCATTGCAAATAAGCTTCAGAGCAGCTGTTCAGCTTTGCCTAATATAAAATGGTATGCACTTTTTGGAGTGAAAGCATGTATTGCTGTTACAAATATTATCTGAACTGTTGTGTCTGGGTATTGCAGAGCGTTCAGTACAGGTTTTTCAACTAGTTTTCTGGGTCTTAAACCTGTTGAAGTCATTCTAGATAATTTCTCTTTAGCACTAGGAGGCCATTTGTTTTGTTTTAATACCTGTTGTGGCTTCTTTGTTTTCAGGTGGCTATGGCTACAGGACAGGTGCTGTTCCAACGATTTTTTTATACCAAATCTTTTGTGAAGCATTCCATGGAGGTAAGAAATACTAAAGATACACAAAATATTAGAAATGCACATGGCTACAAATGTGATTAAACCTTTGAACTAGGTGTGATCAGAGCATCTGGTAACCAAGCTATAGCTTTGAGGTATTGATCAATATAATCTTATACAGCTACGTAGAAGCAAGTGCTGATTTTGCCAAGTTTTGAGTATTTCCTGGTTTTACCATGATTTTCTCTTGTTATCCCTCCTTAAGCTGTTGGAGGCAATCAGCTCCAGATTTGAGCAAAACATCAGTATGTTGCAATACTTATATTTCAGCATGTGTCAATGGCCTGTGTTCACCTGGCATCCAAAATCGAAGAAGCACCAAGACGCATAAGGGATGTTATTAATGTGTTCCATCGTCTTCGACATCTAAGGGAAAAAAAGTAAGCTTAGACTCTGAAATATTACTTTATGATGTATTTTAATAATTAAACTTCATGGGTTGAAATTAGTGTTGTTCCCTCTCTTACAAATCAGGGAACCTCTTGAAAAGATCTCATTAGGGAGAAAAGCATGTTGACCAACCTTTAAGTAAACATTTCCTATGTTTATAAATAGTGATTTATTTTTACTCAGACACAACTTAAGCTGCATGCAAGTCCCCCAAAAGGTTAAAGGAATTTGAAATTGTGTTGCAGGAAACCTGTGCCTCTGATATTGGATCAAGAGTATGTAAACTTGAAGAACCAAATTATTAAGGCAGAAAGAAGAGTCTTAAAGGAGTTGGGATTTTGTGTTCATGTAAAGCATCCTCATAAGGTTTGTACTACGTGAACTAACTTATAAAGTAATCAGTGTATGTTTCGTATGCTCTGAATGGTTTGAGTAGGCTGCTTAAATGCGTAGAAGATGTGTGATTTGCAGCTGATAACACTAAAAAATTTAGTAAAGCTAGCTTCTTAAAATCTTGATGTCTTCTTTCTCATTTAAGAGAGTCTTACTAGTTCGTCTTTTATCGCTGCTGAATGACAACTGGAGATGGATGCAAATGTTAAGTATTCCTTGAAGTCAAATGCACTCCAATTGTTTGCTTTAGAATGAAATTTATTTAAGCAGGTAGCTTTGATGTTAGAAAACTTCTCACACCATGGCATTCAGCTGAACATAGACGCTTAGGCAGAAAGGGATTTGGAGCTCCAGGATTGCAATATTTTAATCATTATGAGAGAAATATGATCTGTCATGAATGTTTTTTGAGGAGTTATGCTGAGGATGTTAAGAAACTCCTTACTACATTACCTGCTTTTATGTTCTGAAAGTTCACTCAAGTGTGAAGTGGTTGACCCAAAAAAGAGAAAGTTATTCACAATTTAAAAATACCAAGCATCAGTAGAGTTATACTTGTCTACAATAGTTGCACCTTTCATTTAAGGTGGTACTTTCTAGTACCACCAGTATTAGCATTAGGCTTTAAGTAGCTGATAAGAAGGATGGTGAAAGAATCTTATATCTCTTTATCTTCAGAACTTAAGATCTTACTTTCACTTTTTCTAACGATTGCTGGTGTCTTAAGGTCTTCCTTCTGAGCCTACTTGATTTCCAGTATGCACTCGTATCAGTACCTCAGAGGACAGTTGTACTTGTTTGTTAATTGTTATGGATTTTTGTATTTAAAATAGTTTATCTGCATCCTCCTGGGTTGGGGGGGGGTGTCTTTTTTTGTTTGTTTGTTTTCAAACTGAAATACCTAGGACTCTGAATAAACAAATGACATGTATCACATGCTAGGTCTGTTCTCTACTGTTATGCTTCCATTGCCACTTACACAGCTGGCTGTATTTTCTTCCAAGTTGCAGCTAAAAAGGAATGGTGAATTGTATAGGAGAACATACCTAGCTTGGAAAACAAGACTTCTAGATATGTAGGATGATGACTGAGCTCAGAGGTCGACGAGCTAGGAAGGTCAAATTTAGTTGTGTGTCAACTCATGCAGGCTTTTGCACTGGAAGGTAGAAACTGTGTGTAAACACTGGGTGTGTTGCAAGCACTCTTACTGGAGCGTTTTAAAACTTAAAAGAGGGTAGCAGATGCCTCTTGGATGTCCCTCTGAATTAAATAGGTGGCTCTCAAGATTCTTAGTAATAACTCAATAACCCGTATCTTCCAGATAATCGTTATGTATCTTCAGGTATTAGAATGTGAACGTAACCAACATCTGGTCCAGACTTCATGGTAAGTTGATCATTTTTGTGTGTGTGTGTGTGTTATAAGAGACCAACAGGGGCAGTAGCAGAAATATGTCACTTAAGGCACTCTGGGCAACGTGGCTCTGAAATGATTGTGAGCCAAACCAGAGAGCTCCACTGTTTCTTAGAGTGCCCAAACTACTACCCAAATGTTGATCAGCCTCTTAAGTTTGAGGCACTTGTAATGGTAAGATAGCTCTCCACCTTGGCTTCTCACTTACCTCTCCTCTGCTTTCACCTTCCAGCTGAAGGGAAAATGTTGAGTGGGTTTGGGGAGGTGTTACTTTTTTTTTTCTTGTTTTCTTGTTCTTTGTATAGATTGTATGTGCAGCTGAAGTCTGTTACCAGTGTTGGGAAAAGGCCTTTCCCAATGCTTGAGCTTTTTATTATAACAAGTGTATCAAGAACTCGCAGCACAGACAAATTCCTTTTAACCGTATGGATAATTCAAGATGTCAGCTTCTAAGACTGAATAAACTCAATGTTTTCATGTTTACCAAGAAACATCCTCTACCTTGTTGCTCTCATGACAATAAGAGATGGGCATCTAAAATAAAATTCCAGGTCTTGAACTTAACAAATTGATAATGTTTTTAAACAATACTGTTATTTAAAAAAAAAAAAATTAAGTAGTGAGTCCAAAGATCATATTTCTGCTGACTGAACTGTCTGGTACTGTGATCTGTGTGTAGAGAACCAGTTTTGACTTTTCTTTTCTGTACTCTTTTGATCAAAGGGTAGCCTCTGAGGGTAAGTGACTAAGACTTCTCCTCTGCTGCCCAAGCGCTATGGTGCAGGGATAGCTGCCGTCTTCAGTCAAACCAAAGCAGGCTCTACAAAGAGAAGGCTGACTCTAGACAGGTGGTATATACATGATAGTATAGTAACTGGCCAACTGCTTCTTATGCTTTTATACTTTATGACCTCTTACTGTCTGTTATTTTTGTTGTGCCTTTTGACAACTGTATATTTTATAACCTGGTTGTTGAAATTCTGAAAGATTTTTAATGTTAAATTCCTATAACTGTTAAAATGATGTCGTCTTAGATGATAAAGCAAACGAAAGTGGGGCTTAAATCTTAAGGGGAAGAGTTAACACAACAAAAACTGAAACCTAGTTTCTGTTTGTAAATTACTTAGAAATCACTTGAATGGATGTGAAGCTTGGAATCAAATGTAACATTGACTGGGGATTTAAAGAAACTTCCCCCTACCAGATTCCCCAATACCGTTGCATGGAGTAGTCAGATAAGAATTATGGACTATTAGTTACCGGTTTCCTGCTTGTTATGAAAGGAGAGATGGGTGAGAGGAGGGAGAGACTATCCCATTTGAGAAATGGTTCAAATGTTAAAATTATGTATTTGTATGTGTACTGATGTTTGTTGCTCCCAGTACATGAGAACTGGTGGGTATCCAGTATAACTTGTTTTGTTGAAATGTTTGTTTTTACAGCATTACCTTTTTCTTCAAATATTGTGACAAGTATTCATTTCCTCATACATCTGGATTCTGAGCCCACAGGAAATTGTACAGAGGGAAAGCTTGGAAGTAGGCAGGCTTTGTCAACTTTACCAAGTTAGAAAAAGGCTACGTGACCTCCAGATACTTGGAGTACCGCTTTTCTCCTCATGTTTTATTTGCCAAAGCTTTGCGCCCTCTTTGAAGTAGGGCAAAAAAGTAGTTTTAATGTTATTTTCTCCCAGAAAAATGAGCTACTGTTTGGGAAAATGAGCTGCTACAGCTTGTCTGGGGTAGCAGTTGCTTTTTGTATAAACAGGAACATTATAGAGAACTGGGGCAGGTGGGAGTTTGATATCCTTGGGCTTCAAGTACCTTTTGTCTTTCCTGTGTAAACTGGATTTAAGTGGACTGTGGTCTCTGGTTTGGATGTCTTGGGGCTTAGTGAATCCTTGTATACTGGGCACCCGCATCATCAATTACTGACTACTTTCAGAAAGCTTATTATATGGAGGCCTTTTGCGGGGGCAGTCTGGTTTTAGCTATTTTCCTATCTAGTACTTTGCTCTGAAATATGTACTGAAACCTAGATCTCTTTAAGCACTTCAGCTGACAGATTCAGAGGAGTTTATTCACTATGTTTAAGACTTTATAAAAATAATTTTAAAGTGTACTGACTGGAATATATGCAATATTTTACAGTTTTCTCATTCTGTGAATATTCATTTTAAGCAACCTTATTGAAATGGGACAATTTGGATACCATATTTCATATGCCAAAGAAGAGAGCTACCTGAATACTGAATGTTCTTCTGAGTTGATGTTCCCAAACACCCTGGTTTACACTGTGGCGGCTTTTTGTATCAAAATGAGTTCTGCTCTGGATGGAAAAGAGTCTTTTTGAAAGAAAATGGACACCTTGAAAAACCTCCCAGTGGAAGTTGGCACATGCTGGAAGTGGACTGCGTGTTCATGGGAGAACTACCGCGGGATCTGCAGTTTTCAACAAAACATCTGAGTTCAGTCCTATTGCAGAGGAATATGTGAACCTAAAATTCTATAACTGAGTACTTCAGATTATATTGTATGTTGTCTTGAGGAAAAAAAATTCTATATTGCATGAGAGCAGGCCAGTAGAAGATTCAGAGGGAAAAGTAAAGTTAAAATTGGTTCTCTTCTCACAACTGAATTTTCAACAGCCAGCCAGTCAGTCAAACTTAATTCCTGTTCCACATCCCTCCCCTTGAGGAATTTTTTAGTAAAGTTTTATTCAACTTTTCTTTAGATTTGCAGGAGTATAATGTTGAAGCTTAGTAACTGAATGCAGAGAGAAGTAGTCCTTGTAGAAGTAAAAGTAATAGGAGAAACTTTGCAGCATCCTGCAGTGTTGCTGATATCTTCTCTTTCAGGAATTACATGAATGATAGCCTGAGAACAGATGTCTTTGTAAGATTCCAGCCAGAAAGCATTGCCTGTGCCTGTATTTACCTTGCAGCTAGGACACTGGAGGTAAGCATGCAGTTCCATTGAGTTCGAGCCTGATAGGTCTTTTGATAGAAGCAGAAAACAGAGCGTGTTATCCCTTTCCTTTCAGATTCCACTTCCTAATCGTCCACACTGGTTTCTACTCTTTGGAGCAACAGAAGAAGAGATTCAAGAAATATGTTTAAAAATTTTGCAGCTCTATACTCGGAAAAAGGTTTGCTTTTTCATATCACGAGCCTTCATTGTAGACTACGGCTTAGAATGTGAATCAGAAAGCCTTGTCCCATTTGAAGCCAGCTACAAACCCAGTAGAGTCCCCCCCCCCCCCCCAAAAGTCAGTAGAAAGTTCAGGTTGCAAAATTTCATTATGAGCAGTGTTCATGTCTTTGCAGGTTGATTTAACTGATCTGGAAAGTAAAGTAGAAAAAAAGAAACTAGCAATTGAAGAGGCAAAAGCACAAGCTAAAGGTCTGCTACCTGAGGGAACCCCGAGTTTGGATAACACATCAGGATTTTCCCCTGTACCAAAAAATGGTAAATACTAGATGACTGACTTGGAATACTCCTTATCTTGAAGGCGTTATACTTTTGAGATGCGCATACAATTTCTTAAGAACTTTTTTGTGGGAGGTAGGGAGGGTGTATGGGCTTTTTTTTTTCCCCTGCCCCTCCCCTGGCTTCTACTAACTGTTCTATTGCCAAAGTTTATCAATAGCATTGTAACTTTGTAATTTCTTGAAACGGATAAGAAAGAACCGTTAAGTTAGTCTAAAATTAAAGCTAACATATAAACTTACACGATATAGAGACTTGCTTGTATGTGGTTTTGGTGATAAATCTGAACAAACACTTGTGATCAGCGTGTTATGCTAAAGAAATACTAAGGTACCTGTGTGATTAGAAAGTCTGGCAGGAGTACTATTTTTATTTCCCTGAATACTTAGTCTGACAGTTTTCAGTCTAGTGCATATCTTGTCTAGAAGATGACTTTTGCCATCTTTCTCTTCAGATTACCTTTAAAAAGATACTGAATAGTAGGCAGGAAAAAAGCTAGGGTTCTGCCTTCGGGAAATGGATTTGCAAGCAATGTGGTTTTTTTTGCAGTTAACTCCCTTGTTTTATGTATTTTGGCAGAAATGCTTCAAGTTAACTTTTGCCTTTTCATTGAAGTTCTCCAGATTTAGTTTTTGTGACTGGCTGTGTGTGTGTGCACATGCGTATGCAGTAAAGATTATCACTTTTTTGAGTGTGGATTTTTTTTCCCCTTTTCCAGTCCTTATCCTCTAAGTCACTACCAATCCTTGCAAAATAAGGTAACAGATTTATTGCTCTTCTAGAGTCTCCAAAAGAAATTAAAGGAAATAAACCTTCACCGCTACCTGTTCAGGCAATGAAGAATGCTAAAAGAAAAACTGAGGGAGCAAAAAGAATGAGTTCAAATAGCCCAGTAAATGGGTAAGGTTTATGTAATGAAGATGCTTAATTTTTTTTCCTTATTGTTTTAAGCAAAATACATTATTCAGGTTTTTTAATCCCTTGCAGCCTTCAGAAAGGAAGAGAAAGTAGAAGTCGAAGTGGAAGTAGAGATCAGAGTTATTCAAGATCACCATCCAGGTCTGCATCCCCTAAGCACAGGTATGTGCTGTTGTCAAAGAAAGGCATGCTCTGAGAGCACCTCCCAGATTACTACACTGAACTAGTGCAAAGCTAAAATTTTGGGGATTGAGCTTTGGTAGCTTCTCAGCAAGAGAGACTGAAATAACATAGCAGCATGTTCTGCTAGTTAGACCTCCAGAAATAAGGCTGATCCAAGAGTAAGAGGTGTACTGTCTTGGCTCACGTGTCAGGGGAGTTGCGGAGAGTTTGATGGCTGTCATACCTGTGCAAAACACACTGAAAAGACGTAAGCATAATATCAGGTTGTTTTTGAACTTCAGCCTGTACTGGTGGCATATTGCCGAAGAAGCAGGGTTTGGTCTTTGTTTTGTGTTTCTCTTTCATGTTTAAAATTGGGCTTCTGTGGCTATAAAAGCGAAGCAAAACTTCCGTTTGGAAACTGAGTGAAGATACTGTGAGTATCTAATGACAGGAAGGTTGGGAGAAACCTTCTATAGAAAGGCAGGCTGTTTTTAAGTGTATGGAAGATACCAAAGCTTAAGATCTGCTGACTGAAAATCTTCAATTTGTGAATTTATAGTTACATTTTAGTAATTATTGGAATTTGATGAGAACATCTTTCTGAAATCTCTTGCACTGCCTTTGACTTCTAAGTTCACCATGTAACCATAATACCCATAGAGGAGAAGTCTAAGAGACATTAGAGGGGTAATTACCTGAAATATAAACTTAGGCATTTTGGTAATAGCATTACTATAAATACTGAAAAGTAGTTTTTTTCCTTTGCCTTGTTGTGGGCAGCATTTTGAATCTGGTAGAGTTAGTCTTAGATATTTGTGCAGGTTTCCTAAATAGTGGAGGAAGAGGAAAATCTGAAACATGACTGCAAAGCTTAAAAAGGATATGGTTTCTGAAAACCAGTACTTCTACAGAAACCTAATCAAGTTTGGGACACGCAAGACTGGTTTCCATGGAATACTGAGTAACAGAATATAGAATCAAGGTCTTACTTATGCAAGCACAGTTTCTTAGGTAGCTCTATCGGTGAGTGTCTCTGTCGTATTCAAAGTGTGTGTGTGTGTGTGTGTGTGTGTATCATGAGGGTCTTTAGGAGCTAATAGTAATGTGGAAGCAGTTCTACTTCATCGTATTAAGAAAATCATGTAGGTTCTCTCCTGTACTTTTTTTTGCTATAGGAAAAGTGAAAGTTACTCCACTTCAAGCGGTTCCAAATCCCATAGCCGTTCTAGGAGTCGCAGTGATTCTCCTCCAAGGCAGTTCAACCACACTTCTAGTTACAAAGGTTCCAAGATGAGAAGTTATAAGAAATCAAAAGACTACAAATATTCAACACACAAACCGAGGAAATCCCGCAGCAGAAGTTCGTCACGTTCCAGGAGCCGGTCCCGGGAGCGTTCTGACCATTCAGGGAAGTACAAGAAGAAAAGTCACTACTACAGAAATCACAGGCATGAGCGTTCACGCTCCTATGAGCGAACGAGTCATCGCTATGACAGAGAGCACCCTGGCCACAGTAGGCATAGGCGATGAGTAGGACAGAGAGTTTTCTCCTTTGGAATTCAAACAGTGGAGTTATTTCCTCCATTTGATCTTTGCAGCATAGGGTTAATCTGGTTTTTAAACCACTTTAGCTTCATTAATGTCTGTTCTGCTGCTAATTCTGTACTTTAATCCAAAGGAAATAGACAAACAGGATAGGATGATGTGAAAGACTTAATCTGATAATGTCTTAGTTGCTGTCTGCCGGAGCATCATCTAATAATACTGCAGAGCTTGCCTCTGTGGGATGCTCCTGTTGCCTGCTCTTTAGTTATTTGCATACTGTAGCGTAGTGGAGTGCTGCTTGGGATTTGCAGTTCTGGAAGCAGGAACTCCATTGCTCAGTAGTTGAAGTACTGCGTTGAACAGTCCTTCCCTGTGGAACTAGACAGCTCAAGACAGTTCATAAAGACCATTGGAGTGGCTTGGTGCTAACAAAGCTGTCTTTTCGTACTGACTCAACTATATTGTACAAATGTAAGGTGACTTTTTTAGAATTGATGCCTATATTAGGTTATATATGTGTATATATATTTTGCAGTGTTACAGTATAGTATGGGAATATGGCCTTACTAGCCTTTACACTTTATCCATAATGTAAATAGGCATTTGTTTAATACAAGTGAAAGATATATATATACAGCAAATTCAAAACTTGAATTCTATCAAAAAGACTTGTGTAGAAAGTTCTGGTAAATGTGAAAGTATTTAGCTCTGTGTATTGAAAGTAGTATATTTTTTATTCGTGCAATGCTGTGTGCAGGCCACCAGCTCATAATAGACGTTTCCTATATATACATTCTATGTGGTTGGAAATTCTTTACTCAGGATCTTTGACACTCTGAAGTAGTAGTTTGTCAATCTGCTTGCTTGTTGAAGAACAGAACTTTCTTTTTTTAAAAAGAAAACACACAGCCCAGTAGTATCAGTTCTAATGGTATCTGAGCTGTTGCTCTCGTGCTCCCTAATTTCATTAAAGTATTTGATTTTTATATTAAACTTACTTGATAGTAGTTTCTTATGAGCTATACCATTGTGCCTCGTAAGGAAAGAAGAAATCTCTTCTTGAATGAAGAGACAAACAGATTGTAGTAGACTTACTTTTAGCTTAAAATGTGACATCCTGAATATAAGTATGGCAAATGTCATACTGGAGTCCATCCTGACTGGAGGAGTAGATTGGCGCAATGTAAAGCGTGAAATAGGGTGCTTTATTTAAGTCCTATAAGCTATGTTACAGATTTTGCTGGCCACATTAACTACTGGGTTAACCTTCCTCTGTCCATAGTCAGCAAAGTAAGATTCATTAGAGGCTATCTGTGGTCAAGCTTTTAGATGCCTCAGTATGACAGTGACGGATAACTTCCGTCCTTTGTGCTTCAACTTCAGTACCCAGGATGTGACAAGAAAACAAATGTTTTGTGGCTTCGAGGGTAGCTGTTGTAAGTCTTTTAAGTCCAAACCCGTCTCCAGACACAGAGGCAAGGCAGCTCAGAGGGTTTGCAGTTAGCCTTCCTCTTAACAACCTCTGGTCTATCAATCTCCTGAGTTGGAGCTTACATCTGAATTCTTGTATGCCGTTACCGATCGACCTATCCTTTGTGAATTTAACTGATTTCTTTTTGGACCCAGTGATGCTTTTGGCCTCTATGGCCTCTTCTGGCGTTCTGTCCTATGGTAGGAATTGCTGTTTAACACAGCACAACTAGATTACCTGTTTTAAGTTTATTGGCACTGGATAGTTTTGGTGGGTGCTGTTATTCCCTATACAAGGGAGAAGAGTGAATAATGATTTCCTGTATACTTTTTTCAGCAGCAGTTGTCATTTTGTACAACTTCATCATATTTCTGATTAGTTGTCTTTTCTCAGCTGAGATGCAATTAGGAGAGGCAGCTGATACAAGGAAAGCCAGGGTAGGGGAAAAAGATACTTGCATGGAGTTGTGCTGACTGGTTTTAACTGGACTAGCCTCTTGTTTAATCTGTTCCCAAATCAGCAAACCATCTGCCTTAACTTGATCTTTGCACGCAGAATGGAAACTAATTATTTCATACTGAGTATACTAAAGAATTGAGTAGAAGTCTTAGTGTTAAAGTAGTAGCCACGACAAAATGCAGTGTAACAAGGTCATGTTGATCTATCCAAAGTGTTTTTAATACAAAGTGAAGTGACTCTGCTCTCCAGAGTTCCCATTTCAAGCCTTTTAATTTTTCCTACCTGGTATTACTGGAGCAGGTTAAGCACAAATCTCTGCTTGCTAATTCCACTTCTAAAAGGTAGTTGGTTTAATTACTACAGTCTGCTCTGAATACTTGTGTGCATGAGGGAAGCAGGTTTCAGAGCTGCAGCTTCCTCTGGAAACATCTTGAGCAGAATTTATCTCCAAATTAAATCTCAAGCCTACTAGCTGCTACTGTGTTTGCTCTCCAGTGCAAGTAGGGTGAACAAGAATGAATGCAAGATCCAGGCTATGTACATTTTTCTATACGAACATTGTGTTACTAGGCATAAAAATCAGCCACTGTGTCTTATAAACTATTGAGCATGTGTACAGTGCTGAATAAACAATAATCTACTTTCTAACACATTTGTTAGAAGCTGGAGAGAAGAAAAAGCATAAAGCACAGGAGAAAGAAGGTATATTTGTACCTTTAAAGTGGTTTGGTCCCCCCAAAAAAGGATTATATCACAGAATTGTATCCTGTTCTAGTAGAGAACAACCTGTCCTTACCAATGACAAGTACAATACAGATAGCTACACAGAAGGTGTTGGTGGTGAGTTAGGTCTGGGAGAAGCTGCTTAGAAAGTAGTGAGAGAGGACATAAAATAAAGCTGTCGAAAGAGGGGCTGACTCCTTAGCTGGGAGTGCATGCAGGTCCTCTGACTGCAAAAGAGCTGTGCATGTGTTTGCTATCTGGTGGTGTGGTCAGTGGCCATAGCAACAGGAAAAGCTGTGTAGTTTTGCTCTGATCAGGAAGTCCAAGATTATTGAATGTATTTGATAATTCTGAGGGCAACTACTTACAAGCAAGTAGTTTTTCTGCTTTATTGGGCCGATTGCTAAGAGCTGTAGAATCTGTAATACCTCATGGATAGCTGTGACGGGTTTTAGTAACTTCTTCCAAATTTTACACCTGTTCTGTCCTGTTATTCAGCTAACTCGACAGCACTAGAAACACATGCTGTTGGTGCAATAGGTTCATGCCAGGGGCTCTTTGGGCCCCTAGGGGGACCCTTCTTTCATTGATTGTGTGTATGCCCAACAGTTGCCATCTGCCTGCAGAAACTGATCCTAGAATTGCTTTGAAACCTGTCAAGAAGGCAACCTCCTGAATCTGAATAACAGATTACCGTGATATGAAGCCTGTGGGCCTCTGCCTCCTTTAGGAATAGGAGACTGACTTCTCAGCTGAAAGTTCTGCATATACAAAGTGCACTATGCAGTCTTGTTTCCACAGGCTGCGTGACTACCTTGGCTACCCTTCAGAGAGAGGTGCTCTTTCATCCAAGATGCATGAGTGGTGGTGAAGGTGTTAAGCAGCAGTTTTCAACCCTTGATTTGTCAAGTGTCTCAGGGAAAGTGAAAAGAAAATGGAAGAAACAAGCCAATTGGCCGCCAACCTCCTTATTCCAGAAAGGAGTCCCTACCTACCAGTGAAGAAATACAGCAGTTGTGAAATTAAATAAAAGTTGAAGGTAATAGAGCTCATTGAAGCGAGCTCAGTTATACTCTTTCCATGTAAATTCGTATTTTGAGATTCAAAACCTAAATGAAGTACTTCTGGTACTCTTGCTGAAGTTGCTCAAAATCTGTACTCCCAAAATGGGGGATGCTATTTCTCTTCAGTCACTGAAGGGATAAAAGGGATAGTAGGGTATAATTAGGTAGGGCTTAGGAACTACTTTGAGAAGGAAGACTTTTGTATAGGTAAATGCTGAAATTAAGTGTATCCTACTGATCTTGTTGGTGCTGAGGTTTGGGAGGTAGATATATGTAACCATTCCCACTAACTCTCCACTCATTCGTCAGCTTTGCTAGTTCTATATTTTCCAATAGCTATTAGTTAGCGATTTAAAAGTCAGCATGCACCTCTGGAAGAACATGAAGTTTAAGAGGGTGCCAGCTATCAGCTAGGTTAAGATCTGGGGAATTTACTATTAGTTACAAATACATTAAAATCACATGTGCTTATTCATCTTCCAGTGCCATGCTAAAGTTTTCTAGTATATTTTTTTCTCAGAAAGCCATGTGAACAAACGCCAAAATCCCGCCTAAAGTGTCTAAAAATCCCACTTGGCCCTTCCGAACCAACTTTGACTGCATAGTGTTGGTGTTGAATGTAGAGCAATATGTGCTTTGCTATATGTTCTGTTTAAAAGCAGGTTTTTATCCATTTCAGTGGTTGCAAATGGCTGATTTCATAAAATTCTAGTTATACTGCTCTGTGACCAAGGTTGCCATGGTATGCCCTTGAGGGGAAAGGGCCTAGTAGCATGAACGCATGTATCACTATTGCTCCCAGCTACTTTTGGTCCTGTGGCAGTGTTTCTTTTCTGTGGAACAAAGTAGCAGTGGTTTGCAAATACGCTCACCTCTCTTGAGTGGTGAAATGGCATTATAGAGACGCCTCTTCTGTCTGGTAATGAACAGGTAAGTGGTCTGCCTTACTGCATAAATCAACATAAACTGTCTTAGAATTAAGCCCAGTTTCTTAGATCTCAGTTGAACTTTGCAATGTAAAAGGTGCAAATCAGCTTCAGCTGGTGAAAGAATCCTCATACATTGGAGCTGGTTGATGGTTTCTACCTCCATCACAACAAAGAGCTGTGGGCAACGTTTGTGTCTCAGGTACCGCTATGTCTTGTAACTTGATATCTACCTCCCATTGCTCAGAAAAATGCTTTGCTAATGGGGGAGCACCTTGCTTGTCCAGGGGAATCTGTCACTAGCTCTCTCTGCTATATAACTGCTGCCTGCCCCTATTCCCCCCCCCCCCCAAAAAGCAGAATAAGAGTGTGGGTTGGGGGGAAGGGGGCTTGGAGACAAAGCTTCCATTGACTTCAGTGGGATTTGACCCATTGTGTTCTCTTAGCACAAAAGCTGGTGGCAGAAAAATACTCAAAATGGCTCCATAAGGAGGTGCTGCCACCGACAAGAGCCAGATCAGAGGAGGGACAAGGTAAGGAATACCTGAGAAATCGGGCACATAGCAATGAAAAGTAGTTAGTGTTATGTGTTTAATCTGCAGTCACCAACAGTACACCAATTACCCTCTTGTGTACAAAATTCCAGCCCTGTGTGGCAGCACTGAAACTTACGTGTGCTGACTGCAACGACTGAATAAACACAAATGCAAAGAGGTTAACTAAGCAAGTCTTATGTCTGACAGGGATTTTCTTTTTTTTTAGTTTTTTCCAAAACCAACAAAATGCCATTGGTAATGCACGAGAGTTGTTCCCAATTTACTATGGCCCACATAGTTTAATCAATTACCTTCCCTCCTATTTGGAAAAGAAGAGAATGTTGTGAGATGGGGATATTTCTGGAATGAGCTTTGTGTGGAAGAAAGAAAAGCAGTGGTATCAGTGTATGGGGTAGCTTTACTGCTGACTTGTGTCACGTCTGATCTGTGCACAAAGGTGAACTTCTCCCATAAGCTTTAGAGAACAGTGGAGTCTAATTCTATGGATCCACTTTAAACAAAGGGTGCTGTATCCACACATTCAGTTTCACGTGTGTCAGAAAAAATAATCACACACTTAGTTGATTGTTTTCATGCTCTGGAACCCCTTGTCATAAGCCAGAGCTGTTGGGGATGTGTTGGGGGGGGGTGTGGCGGCTTGCAGTTAATGCATGGCTGAATATGTATTTGTTCCAAATCTGTGTATGAAACTGAACCCTTATCTGCAAGGGTGAGCTAAGCTTCAATGAGTGGCTACAACCCAATGCTATCAGGGTAATTACCCTATTTTCAAAGGGTAATTTTCAAACTCTCACTTCTGGGAAGCCAACATGACAAGAGAGAAATGGCAACATCCGAATTTTGTTAGTTGACTTGAGAACTGCATGCTTTGCAAAGGTGGAAGGCTCTTCCTGATGGTCCTGGTGTGGTTCATCCCTTCATGGTATGTGAGTGCCTTTCAGCCTTTAGAGTACTCTTCCTTATGAAAGCAATGCCACAGATCCAATAAGGGATGGGACATAGCAATACTAAGAGGACAAGTTAGGTAAAAGGGCTGGGGACTGACTCTGCTCCCCTGAGAGACATAACTGATGGGGAAATACAGGTATTCAGAGACCAATTAGAGTCTGTCTCTCTCAGAACTACGCAGAGAGATCATCCTAAACAATGTGCCAACCTTAGAGAGTAGGAGAACATGCTGACTGGCCCAAGTCGATAGAGGAAATCGTTGTGTAGCCAGAAACTGAGCTACTGTTCTCTAAATCCCAGACAAGCAGCTGAACGTTGCTAGGACGGAGGGAGAAATTGGGATGGGCCCAACTATGCCTCACAAGCCGTAGGTGTGGTGCTTGGATTTGGTGATGCCTCCAGCCTTCGCTGCTACCATCACTAACAGCTGATAAGAAGGCAGCGTTACTCTAAAAGGGACGGAGTTAACCCAGGCTCAAAGGGCAGAGAGAGCAATACCTCTGCGGCAGTAAGTCAGGCAGAGCGCGGCGACAGCTGTCGGGAGCCCCGGCCGCGGCGGCGCTA